ACGAAGACATAACTTGCCGTGCTGGCAGCTGACTAGCAGATAACGAGCTGGCAGCTGAACAATAATCTCTCGTACGAAACATTATTGGTCAGGTGTCAGCACGTAATGAGTTCATAGGCTACGTGACGCCAAACAGGCAGATAGAGTGTTCCACACTCGCCGTCATGGCTACTAGACGTGCGGATTGATGCTCCCACGTCTAATGCACATATATAGCCGATAAAGTGGACCGGGGGATCGCCATGGTAGCTCAGTTGGTAGAGCATCGGATGCGTTAATCGCTGGTTCGGTGCCTGCCCACGGCAAGTCATCTTTTCAGCAACTTTTCTTTCTTCACATTTACATTATAGTTACTTCTAGTAACGTCCCTTACGTATAACTTTCTTCGCATTATTGTCTCTTAGATCTCATTATTATTGTGTCTAACAAAGAAAACTAGCCCTTCAATGTACACTTCTTTCTTTCATGATTATCTTTAATCATGGTATTCCTCTTTGAAACAGAGAGGTGGCAAGAAAATCAACTAGTTATTCTAATAACAGGTGTCAGTTCATCACCGTCTAACATTCTGGCTATCATTTTTTTTTCTGTATGCGAGCCTCCATTGATACACTTACGTACACCTATAAACACTGATCCAGTTGATCGCATTCATGCTTTTTTTCTTTCCATACTCGAATTTTATCTGGCTTCTGGCTCATCTAAGCCACCGTAGTTAATACGTGGGTTGTTTGAAAAGTAAAGACCTTTTGATCTCGAAAAAAAAAGTCACAACTTTGCCGGAAAGGCGAAGCAATGAACGCGATAGCAACAAATGGAAAGGCCACGCGCAGAATGAAAAGCAGATCGAAACACGCCACACGTTCCTCACCCACAAATGACGCACAAAACGTACTCACAGGTAAGCGTCTCATTGGTTACTTTGCTGTTCCTAAAAAGCGCGCGCTTTTCGCAAACGGAGACTGCAGTGATTGCAGTGACCTTTGTGCACCCGGTAACTACAGAAGAATCGCCCCAGGTAAAGCCCGAGGCCAGCCAAAGCGTACGGCCTTCCTCTTCTCGCCGCCGCGAGATAACGGCGCGTGAGGGAGCGTCGCTCCCCTTCTGTAAGCTGGACAAAGTACGTGTAGAAGATTAGAGCGGGCGCCACCGCACGATGTGACGACGTGCGCTCATTGCGCCATCTAGCTGGTAATGCTGAAAACACAGTTCCCCCCCCCCCCCAATACGCTCGTGAGCAGCGGTAAGTGGTAGATATAAGTAGCTTTCCGTTTGAACGGTGGAGGATGTTCTCTGGAGTGGCTCAGTGGCTAAATGCCTTGCCTTCACGACGCAGAGGTCCCACGTACGATTTCGCGTGCCGGAGTATTTTTTTCTGGATTTTTTTCTTTCTTACGTTTTCATATATAGATATACGTATACATATACGGTGCTTGACATTGACGCCCACGCCGACGCCGCCGCCGACGCCGATGGCAAAATCCAGTCGAGAGTATCCATATAATAACTATCGCAATAAAAAATATTTGCTATAAAACGGAGCTTAATATCTTGCGAAGGGATACGCCGCAGCACTCGCAGTTGTGGGTAGGTCACGGGGTGGCATGGCAGGTTGAGCATAAGTTATAGACTGTTGCGTGGGCCGAGCAGTGACGGCGGTGTACATTAGAGGCGCTGCTGGCACGCTACCTCTTCACGGACGAAATCCTTGATTGTGGAAAGGAGTGACTGCTGATCGGTAGGACGGGCAGCTAGCTGCAAGCTTGCGAGCGTGTCTGGCGTCGTGAGGGCTTGACGAGCAATCGCGCGCTGCCTACGCAACTCGTCCAAGCTCTGACAGAGGGAGACGAGCGAAGCGATTGGGGTGGAATTTCTCGCCATCAACATCAGAAAGGCACCATCCTGGATACCCTTCAAGACGTGCCTGATCATTATCTTTTTCAGGCATGACATAGTTGACGCAGTTGCATAGATTCAACACATACTCGATGGAGCTCGTGCATTTCTCACCTGGTTCTGTGCACATTGACGCAAACGCTGCTCGGCGTGAAGCTTGCGAGCCGCAGGTCATCTAAAGACGTCCGTAATAGCAGTCTTGAAAGCACACCACGTGGAAATGTCAGCCTCGTGGTTATTAAACAACAGCTGCGTGATGTCCGCAAAATAAAACGTGACGTAGCCCAGCTTACTTGGGTCGTCCCATTTGTTACTGGTGCCGACTTAGTCGTACCTCGCCAACTAATCTTCCACGTCCGATTCAGTGGAGTATGTGAAGATAGGAGGATCTCGTTCAGGATACATGGCACCGCAAGTGACATTGATGGCCGAAGGTCCCACCTAGAGAGGAGTCTCGGTCGCCATATTGGTGTCATGAAGAGGGGGGAGCTTACGGGAGCGAAGTTCCAGGTTCGCACGGGGAGTCCACACACCTCCATCAAATGCCACTGGGTTTGTTCACGTAGTAGGCCGAGGAACGTCAGCAGACCCCAGATCCAAGCAAGCGCAAGCTCGGGTCACGCGTGTATACCACCGAGGCTGTGGCTTGCTTTCCTATACCTGTTTCATCGGCGTCTCGCACTGTTCACTACAGCTGGTAAAAGTTTCTATTGGCTGGTTTCTAGTATGACTCTACTTCTTTTTATACATGATCACTACAAACATTTAAACACCTTTAGTATGCACCAGTTTCTTCAGTTCCTCTCCACAGAAGTTCACCGTCTGCCAATTTTTCGCTGTTTAAGTTGGACGGTAAGCATTTTTGGTATACAACTTGCACACCCGTTTAGTTTTTCAAGCTTTACCGTTTCAATCGGGCCAATTGTAGAACGCTCAAGAAAAGGAAATTTACATTACAGATTACAAACTGTCAGTCATCGATCTAAAAGTCATTCTCGGTCCAATCTTTGAATAGTTCCACTGGTCCTAATGCTCAGCCCGCTACTCCTCTCATCGTAGTGAGAATTGCGTGACCATTTGTGCAGTATCATCTCCACCTTCTGACCATTCATTCACTCATCACTGTAGATTCATGAACTACGCACGGCTGCCCAAATTTCAGAAGGTCATGATCCTTTCGCTTGCGAAAATCGAATTACAGGTCGCACTTCCCTGCTGGCAGGAACGACGATTTTCGCGGGAATTTTCATCTCCGTTGCTCGTCAAGTAAACGACCATTGTGCCAGAACCATAACTGGCACACCTTGCAGAAGAATGAACAGATGGCCCTGCACAATTATATATTTACCTATTAGCAAACGGTTCTTGCTTTTCTACTGACCCTCGTACATTCACCCGCTTGAACGTTTAGCGCCTCTGAAATACCGATGACGGTATTTCAGAGGCGCTAAAGGTCTTGGTGCTCGGTGTCGTGGAGTATCTGATGATGCGATTGCAATGTTTTGAGCATTTTCCGAACTTGTTTTGTGGCAGACACATGGCTGATCCCTCTGGAAATGTTTCCCTCGATACGTTTTTTTTTTTTTTTTGCTCATGCACCAAGCTCGGGTTCCCACAGGTAATGTCTTGCTCATCGTTATGTGTAGCAAACTTTTTTTTAGTCCTTCTTTATAGCCTCAGTTGTAAATATTCATGGTTTCATTCGTGTTTATCCTTCAAGTCAATTTACTGTTTCTGTTTCTTTCATTTTCATTTTCATGACTGATCCGCTTACACTTTGTCGGTAATTACCCTGTGCGTAGTTGGTGCCGACTTTCTTGGCATCGTCACCGGGTACGTGTCTGTGCTGTGTAATACAAGCATTTGAGCACTTTAGTTCCACTTCCCTTCACACACGTTTCTGTGTCTGGCGGGAAAAATTGTTTTTTGTTGAGCACTTTAAGAAATTTAGACGAAATTAGCCCCATATCAACCTTCAAAGTTTAATTCTCGCTACACCGGGTGCCATCAACGGCAATCTTTCCATTGTGCTTTGGTTGAAGCCCAACATCGACAAAACACGAATTGATGCCGGTGACGTGATCCGAGGGGGAGAACTAGTTACCACCAGAAATCGTAAGTAAATCGTGAAGGCCAAAAATAAACCAGGTAAACAGGACGGTTAAAGTTCTCAGCAAAACTTTGCTATTCATCTTATTGAGTCTTCAGAAAAAGGAGTGTCTGCTACGTAAGCTAATGCTTTTGATCTATAGCTGCAGGACAAAAGTAGGTAGCTGTGGAAGCAAAGTTCGTTGCGGTCAGTGGCGTAAATCATGTAAGGAGGGGGGTCTATGGGGTCATGACCCCCTCTGAGCTCAAGCTGAAGGAACAAACCTTGCAAGGTCCCTTCCTTAAGACTTAATTTTTTTTAAAATCACATGCCAGAATGACTTGACAATTATGTATAGCACGTTCAACTCTTTTAATGTTTTTTTTTTTGTAGCGTGTACCTATGTTCAGTACCCACCAGCTGTGTCAGGCTACGGAAATCTCTACTGCAACTAGATCGGTTTCAGAAAATACTCAACAGAACAATGCAAATATGTAAGGTGGAAACTCATATTCATTGTTGGATTTAGTTTGAAGCAATGGTAATGATTTTTATAAAAGCAAAAAAAAACATTTATGAAAACAAAAAGACGCCATGGCATGGTGCGTCCCGCTTTGTGATTTTTCTGTTTACGCCGCTGGTTTCGTTAAATATTGAAAGTAGCATAATCGCTCTATCTTCCATATAGATTGTTTTTATTGTCTCTGTAGAAATATAGAAGATAAAATCTTAGAATGACATTGAATAAGTTCTTGTAGCATCTTTCGCCTACTAAGAAACTCTGCATACTCAAAGTGAATTTTTGTTTATGATGATGCCTTGTTAGATGGAAACACGAAATAATTGGACTACCAGCTTAGCCACTCCCTAGCTTGTTTATAGCACCGTACGAGCTAGTTCATAAGTGAGGATGTCAACGAGTGAGTGAGTGAGTGAGTGAGTGAGTGAGTGAGTGAGTGAGTGAGTGAGTGAGTGAGTGAGTGAGTGAGTGAGTGAGTGAGATAAAGCTACATGCCGTTTCATTGTGGTAGGTTCCATCCGGCCGTGGTTCCCTCTCACCAGGATCGGTCCGGTTGAGGAGTGGGTCCCCGTAGTCGGCATCTAGTGGCGGCAGTGGGATGGCGCACCCAGGAACATACCTACTGCACAACTCGTAAGCCGCGTCTGGAGCGTGGACTATAAGCAGTTGCTGTAGGTCTCCCTGCAGAGAAGCGTGACAACGACTGTAGCTGCAGTCACGCTCTGATAAAATAGCGCGAATCTTTCTAATGTGCGCGTGCCACCAACTTAGCGCATGAGCATTTTTCTTTCAGGATAGTTCATATTCGAATACAGTATAGCAATTTTTACCCGTCACGGAGGTTCAGAGGTACGCGTTTTGCATGCGAGTCCAAGTTACCAGCTTCAATACGGTAGCTTTTTCAGCTATAATCTGAAAATCTGAAAAAAAAGCGCTATAATTTAGTAATGTTCGTCTGTTAAGATGTAGACTACGAGTCCTAGGTAATTTGAACTACCTTCTGAAGTGCTCCATGTCATACGTGCGCAAGTTTAAAACTTGGTTTATTGAACGAAGATAATATACACCAGAAATAATGTATACCACAGGAGTACCACAGTAGCTGTGTCACACTTGTAAGCACACATGGTCATAAACTTAAAACATATCCTCTCCGATGGTCTATCACAGCCTTATTGTAGGGGGATAAATTACATTGTGAACCTGCAAAATTATTTCTTGCTACTGAAAGCAACCTACTGAAAGCAAAAATACTCAGAAAAAACACGTGCTCACTATGGGTCACTCCATCTACTTGTGAGAGCGTGAAGGGTACATGGGCGATGACACCACAACAAACAAAACATTAGGAGAAGCAGCACACAGAACCACTATTGCGTAGAATCACTGGCTAACGGTTCTTGCAAGAAATATCATTTGTAAGTCCAGGGTTAGGTCTTTATAAAATATGGTGACACATTGCTTATCCACAGATGCATTGTACTATCAATAGGTTCGCCTAAAGTTGTCTTTACAAGATCAGTCGACAAACACACTAGAATAAAACCAGGATAAGCGTGTTAATTTCGAAAGATTGCAGTTATCGCGCAGCCCCAGCAGTCGTAGCAGGCAGATTCGTGTAATTCCATTTGTATACACGGTATTTCAAGAAATGTGTCCAATATTCTTTAGAAATCACAGAACGGAAGTATCTGCGTGCTATTTGCGGCACTGCCTTTCCTGTGGAAAAAGGCACCTTCAGATAGGCACAAACAGTAATTGCGGCAGTAATTATAGCAAATTATACAATTACTTTTTTTTACCAGTGGTAGTAGCTGGTCGAGTCAAATAGGCAAATTCAAGCCCTTCCTTCGAATAGTCCATAGCCACTTTGAAATTTGGGAGAAGCGGCCACTGGTAATCACCGCGGAGCGATGAAATTTGGCCAATTTAGCTAGCGAAACCAAAACCGATGCACCAAACAGCGCATCTACCATTCACTTCGACAACACCTTCAATGACGACACTGTTTCCCTCGCATTAGGGGAGAAGACTAAGCGAGTGTCAATAAGCGAAGTGTGGCAGCTTGGGCTAGTTGGTATGGCATGACGATAGTTATAGCGCGAGAACAAAACGACGACACAGAGGCAAGAAGGACCTTCGTGTCCGTCTTGTCTCTGTGTCGTCGTTTTGTTCTCGCGCTATAACCATCGTCGATAGGCGGCCTCGAAGTGAAGTGCCCAAATTGACGGTTGATAACGGCGGTTGATGACGGTTAATAATAGTATTATTATTATTATTATTATTATTATTATTATTATTATTATTATTATTATTATTATTATTATTATTATTATTATTATTATTATTATTATTATTATTATTAAACTTTTTAGGAAGAGGAGAAACGCTGCAGGCTTGACTATTTATTGCTCCTGCCCCTCCTAAAAGTACACTTAGGCGATTTTACAGCAGTGCACATCAACAGCCTAATTAACAGCGTAAATTAACAGAAAGTGAGTGTATAAACATGAAAGGATAGAAAAACTGATTTGTCAGCAAAAATACAATGCATTTTCAATAAAAATTATGTAACAAGATGACATTTCAACAATTTACAACGCAGAATTTCAGACAATTTGATATTTACGAAAAATTAACCACGATAAACGCCGAGTTTCCGTAAAAAATATGAACTCCAAAGAAGATGCTCTCAATTTCAAAAATAAAAACTTCCAGAAAACACGGAGCCCTAACTATAATGTACATGAAGCGTCCAAGAAGAGCTAGTGCAGCCACTAGCATCACCACACCTGGAAGGGATCGACAGTGATGTTCAATGCCTGTCCGACTAGAGTGACTCCCGAAGTGTCGACAAGTACGTCGTCGGAGCGGGCCATCTCCTCAGTCTCGCGCACCACGCAGTCCTTGACCAGGGTGACTGCGTCGCCTTTCACGCTCAGCCCCATACGATGCCACCTGCACTTAGTGTCACAGAAGAAAGTCACTCTTCATGTGCCGGCCCTGCATCACTTCGGTATCTCGCACACAAAATTGAAATTCTGCAATACGTGCACGAGAAAACATTGTGAGAGCTTTCACAAAACAAGAGTGTTTGCTTATGCCCCCTCTGTTGTCAACCGCACAGAATAGGCGTATAAAGAAGTGCCTATAAGATGATCGCAACCTGACAATGCTGCTTCGAGCATCTGCCTATCAGTCGCGTTTCGTTTATCAAGGACGCCTATACCGTTGCAACGGCAAAGTTATAAGTTGTAAACGTCGGTTTGCTTACAGGTATCGTTACAAGTATACGAAATTATTCATAGACAAGAATTTTTCTCAGCAAGGCGTCTAAATGGGAATAAGCCAGCATAAACTGAAGTTTTCGACAGTGTTATTTATACACAGGCAAGGTACCTTTCGAGAAGATACCGGAAACCTTCTGAGATTGTTTTCGTTCTTAGAATAGCGTTCCCTATTTAAGTACGATGACATGCAACGAACGCCCTTAATAGAGTGAAACTATTGCACACGAACGGAGAGATGGTACAACGCACGCAGGTGTGCTTGCGTGTGCCTGTGTGCTAGTTGTACTGAAGGAAACATCCTTTTTTTTTGTAATTTCGAAAGCCTTTCTTTAGACATAGTAATTTGTTTTATCAAGTATAGGCATATAAATTTGCTTCACTTATAAATTCGCACTGTGAACGGTTAGACTTCATAGACGTGATGACATATACGCGTAGTTCTAATCACAATCCTGACTGATGTTACGTCTCAGTATATAAACATGCAAATGTACAAGATAATAACAAAAACAGTAGAATGCATTTCTCGGGACACTTGCTTTCCGTCGTTGAAAGGCTCAGTGAATACTGCCGAGTAGACGGTGCTTGCGTTGCTACTGTCGGACCGCAGCGCGAAAGTCAAGTTCTCGCCCACGTGCAGTGTCAACTGCTCCTCGTCATCCCAGTCGTAGACGGCGAGCAGGTAGCCTTGCGTATTCTGTTGCATGCGAAACGTGGCCAGCACCGAGAAGTCTCGCGGGAAGCCGTCTGCAAGGCGTTAAAAAAATGAGCCATTTCATATGATCTTCCTCATAGAAAAAGAACAGTTGGGTGGGAAGCCGGCAGTGGGAGAAGCTTATTTGCTCATAAATGGAAACGTCGGCGTTAGCAGCGCACAAGACTGAACAAGTTGTTGACTACACTAGCCAGCCCACTAAACAGTTTCTAACGGGCGCTTTTTTGACGAATAGCATATATCGAAGGAAAAAAAACAATGAGACAACGTACGCACGCATCACACAACCTAAATTATAGTTGGACGCAAATATGAACCAAGACGGGCAAAGAGAAGATAGCGACAAATAATTATCAAACTTTTTTGTGTCGTTGCAGTTTCTTACCTTTATGTGTTATCAGGCGTGTGATTTGAGCGAAAAATTTACAGCCACATGACGTAGAATCACCAGACAGATACGAACAGGACGTATATACAAGCTTTCATGCATAGTGAATATAGAACATACATACACTGAACATGAGCTGTCAGCCCATGTTAAATAAGCATAAAACATGTTTTGTCTGTGCAGTAAAATTAGCTGAAGACCAGCATTTTTACCGTTTTTGTTGTGTATGTGTGCGTGCGCGCGTGCATGTGTGTGTGTGTGTGTGTGTGAGCGTGCGTGTGTGCGTGTGTGTGTGTGTGTGTGTGTGTGTGCGCGCGAGCGTGTGTGTGTGTGCGTGCGTGTGTGTGTGTGTGTGTGTGTGTGTGTGTGTGTGTGTGTGTGTGTGTGTGTGTGTGTGTGTAAGCTAGCCAAACCAACCACTTTAAGTGAGCGCGTTGCATTATAGATGGGTTGCACTGACGTCACTAAAACCACACCGTTGGAGCACCACCCCCGAACAACAAGATGAGACTGTGAACTTTGTGCTGTCATGTTTGATCTTTGTGCTGTCACGTATAATCACTGCATGATTATACTGCCTTAACATAATCTAAGCAGCCGTGTTGGATCCATATTCTGCGTCAATGACGTCATGTGCAAGCTTTCAACGTCTCCCTAATACTTTATCTCTGTTTATTTGTGTCTGTGCATGCATGTGTTTGCGTTCCAGGGAATATTTCTTCAACGCCTTGTCTAGCTAAAACACACAAATGTTGATAAAATATCTAGTTGGCATTCAGTGGAACGCACATGGAAATGCTTCCACCGTGGACACCGAGAGGTTGGCTCCGGCCAAAATGCTGTATGCTGTGTCTGGACCCAGAAACATAGGCGTGCCATCGGAGTCCAACCAGGCTGGTCGTTGATCGCAGATACCCGGCCGCACCTCGACACCCGGAGGGAGCAGACCCAGGTCAACACGGCCAACCAGGTCGACAGTATCTGGACACACAATCCCAAATGTGACTTTGTGATAAAAGCCTACTAGCGCTTCTTTTTTTAGTCTCGTGAAGATCGCACTAGACTAGGTAGATGGTGTACGTACTATATTAGCAACGTATTTACGTTCTAACCGCATCTACTATACGCATCATGTCACCACTTCAACAGGGTTCTGTGATGAGGGTTCATTTGTACACTAGTGCTTCAGGAGACCGCTCCCTTAATGTGCTCTTATATACTAGTTATTTGAGCTCTAACATGCAGCTCAAGGAAATCAGCAAGGCTCAGTCACTCTGTCAATATAAGCTCCATGATAACTTATCCTTTATGGGCGCTCGTGTACACTGGGCTTTCACGGGCCAAAACCACGAACAATATTCTTATGAGGTACACCGTAATGGGGAATTTCTGGTAAAGCTGGCGACTTGGAGTTCTTCAACGTTCTTCCCCTCAATATGCGGCCGGCGTGGCAGAGACACGGAATAAAAGGTCGCAGCTATCACTATTTCAATAATGGTGACATTGTGACTATTATTTCAATAATAGTGACAATTACAGCACGTTATAACGTGCTGTAATGTGTTGTTTGAGCACTGTTCAATTATAATGACCAATTCATTGCTAATTTCGTTACCAAGTATTTAGTTGTTGTTATTTTATTACCGGGCACTGTAACGTTGTTCATTATAAGCTTACTTCTGATTTCCCTCTAACCCCCCTTACTCAATGCTTTAGGGTTTCTGAGGTGTTTTTCAATAAATGAGTCGCATTTAGATGTGTCCTCACACAACGGTAGACAGTTGGACGGCTGGTTTGCTAGACGCCTACTTCTTCAATAAATAAATGTTGCCGTAAAGCAAGTCACTTGATCAATTCAAAAGACAGCACAATAACGACGCTATAGGCATGGCGACAGTCAGTCGTGAATGAAACATACGTGTCAATTCGTTCGACGTAGGTATGAGCCCCAGATTTTTACCAGCACGGTTTAGAAGCAATATTTTTCTGTAATAACCAGAAAATTAGAAATACGTTTGTATGCTTCAGTCAGCTTAGACAGAATACTATTAAGTAAAAAGCCACAGATGTTGATCTGACGTCAGCTTGTGGCAGTGACGGTGTCGGCATGCAGCTGCTACTTCAAACCGGAGGCTCACGCAGTGCACCTATCTACAGTTGGCCCGCAGTTCACGCTTCCAATAAACTCGAGCTCATTGTCAAAAAAATATCAACAGTGCAGAAAAAAACCTGAATGCACCTACACCTACCGATTGCGCCTTCTCGCAACTATGGTTGACTAGAAAGAAAAGCATGCATACATATACATCACTTCAGCCACATAACCTGGCTAGTGAAACATCAAAAATAGTAAGAAAATATAATAATCACACGGGGCTAAAAAAACACGTGCCTCAGGATCAGACACTTGGAGTTCTGATGAGATATGAAAATTTGCTGTCTGTTAGTGTGCCGGAGAGTGCGATTACGCATTTAATATAAGAACATCTAAAGCTACACACAACAAGTTCACAGATTACAAATGCAGTATGTTCCCCCTTCTACGCAGCAAGCACATCCACATATAGAACCCAGTAAAATTGTACCGCCGCTTGAGAACTGATGGACAAAAACGGTTAACGTCTGATTATGTAGCATGTACAGTCATCAGCAAGCTTAACCAGAACGCTCCGCAGCATGTCCTGAAACAGTTTTATTGACGCTAGCGCAGCACAGTTTTGTGTTCTGTTGCCGAGATGTTATACCCATGCATGCCGACATACTATATGTAAGCATACCGAGGTATTATCTCGGCAAAAGCGCTTCGCCGCTGGCATCCAAACTAGTCCTGGTCACGCTTGTGGACGCATGTACGTAATAGCAAACCAAGCTCTTTTTTTTTTTGGCATTCCCTTTCGTCCTCACTCATCCATACATCCCAGCGAATTCCTTAACCTTTTTTAGGCAGTCTTGACTGCTTCACTGCGACATCGTAACCACGTCCAAGGTCTTCCAGTGAGTACAGCCGACATCACCGCTGCAGGACATAGGTTTATATATTGTGACAACGGCAACAAGGACTAACCCCCGCATTCTAGAACGTCCCTTCACTCGGTACTGTACTTCGACTCGAGAATTTTGATGTCAGATCCACATCTCGGCAAAAAAAAATTATTGCGTACGCAAGGTGGCGTTCGCGTGATCTCCAGAATCACTTTGTGTTAACCGCTGACGCTGAGAGGTGGCGTTGTGCTCAGCTCGGTTAAGCAAAGAGTGAAGTTCCAGTCACGACTGGTTTCAGAATACGGGGGTAAGTTGTTGGAATATGAAGTTTTATTTTTTTATTGAAAGAGCGTACATGCCTGCTAGAAGCTGTGCATACACCATCCCGGTTGCGTGCAGCACAAAGCACGCCAAGGCGGCGGTCGCAGGCAAGTGCATGAAAGTGCCAGCGGCCAACGTTGACCGGTGCCGTCGCCGCCGCCAGCTCGTACAGCCTTCCCACTGGAAGTCGCAGCTGCAGGCTTCACTGCCCATTTTTTTCATCGAAAGCAGCGAAAGGCCTGCGTTTAACACATACCATTTTGAATGGCGTACGGGCGAGAAAAGGCATTTTTCTTCAATACGTGGTATGAAAACGTGCGTTCATAATTATTTGATATTGCGCCCATGGCAAGGATTTTTCCATAGCCTCTTAAAGACTGCTTTGCTTTGAATACACTAAACACAATCAGTTATCTTTCACTTGACATTCGTCCATGGCCTAACTGCACACAATGAGAAAGGTGTCGTCGCACGCAAGCATTCGCTTCGGGATAGACGTATACGAGTGAGTAACAGTTTGCGCTCTATACAAATAATAAACAAGACAGGTGTGACGCTCCTGGCTGCGTTCGGCAATTTCGGCTAATTTTGTATGCAGCAATAAGCCACAATGTGAACAAAGGGGCATTGCTCTCTTCGCTGAAAATAGTCTGCATATAGTAAGCGGACAAACAAGCCGCGCATACTACATGCTCATAAATGCGATTGCGAGAACTCGGCACGCCTCCAGCAACTGTTGGCATAGTTTAATATATCTTAATGCAATATTAGCAGAATAAAATCTGCGGCATTCTATTACTCTTGACTGAGTTACAAATCTCACTTGCAGTCTTCTTGAGAGGGGGCGGGGAGAGGTGGGGGCTTGTATTAAACACGATAGCTAAGCGCGACACACGTTGACACCTAAAGTTAACTAATCCACCCATATTTAGTGCAGTCAACGAGAAGGAAACCGCATGAATGGAAGGAAAACAAACTTATGACAACAGCGATTGCAACGTTAAAAAATGTGGCTCTGATTATTCATCACTAGTAATTAATTGAAGATTGGAATGTGAAGCCGCTTAGAGGTTCTGAATACCATCTGGTACTGGTACAATAAGAGAAGCATCAACAGAAGATAGTTTGAGGTAAGCATGCATTTAACCAGCCATTTTAAGAAACTTTCACATTATCATCAACTTTCCCAGTGGGTTATAGGGTATCTTTGTCTGCTTACGTTCATTATGCAAAGCCAGCTTCAGAACTCTACAGACCAGTGCACCTGAGAAACAAACGCAGTTAGAAACCACTGCCGCGATTGTACAATTGTAGCAGTAGTTAACAATGATCACGAAACGTAGCCTCGATTCGCGTACGTGCCTACCAAGCAAATACCAGAAAGCGGGGAGTCCGTACCTCTGGACATCGCCCACAGCGCCGTGAGCCTCCCTCACGCCGACCTTTTATTACTAATGCAAAACACGTGTTGCCAATATCCAAGTAATATCGTCTCGAAACATACACTCCGACTTATCTTAACCCTTCGCATGCCTCTTTGCCCGGTGATGTCAGCACACGTGTGGCTGCCCGAGATCTCACTCACCGGTAACCATAAAAACTATCTAATCTCAATGAGGAAGCCACAAACGAATAACTTCTGGGATATCGAGACGCTTTCAATAGCGGCAAGTGAGAATGTCTTGGGTCCTCTCTATGGCACCACACATTGACCCGAGAGGATTCAACCGTATGGCGTCGACTACAGCTGAACACATTGCACAGCCTCTACGACATTTACATCTTTCATCCGCTATTCCTACACCGATAGGTGGCCTCGCTGGGGAGCAATTTCATGCTTTTCTCACATAGCGTTGCAATAGGAGCGTCCGCTGGCCGGGTCCTTCCCCATTCGCTCTCCTCTTCTAACGCTGCGACATTAGAATGACGAGCTGTGTGGCGGAAGCTTGGGCGACCAGTGGGCGCCCGCTCGTCTGTCACGGGATGTGGTAGCAGCTTCTGGGGCTCTGGACTAAAGACCCAACCTGACATATTTACGAAGAGAACATCAAAAAGTCTGTTTCTGTCTCGTCTAAATATATTGAAAATCCGAGCAGCTTGTGATCATTGCCAGTAAAACCAAACTAATGGTTTTCGTGTATAAGTACAGGTAGAAAATACAAATTACAGGCTGTACGTATACTTAGGCTCAATTCCTTCTCTGCACTACTACATTGTCCATAGACTTTTAGCACCGACTGCAATTATACCACAGCTGCAGGGAATAGAATCAACATCTAAAACTATCTATTATACAGCCCAAGTTTTCTTCCCGTGGCTGCGAACGATATAGGTCTTTACGAAAATTCTCAACACACGATAATGATAAAGCAAGTACGTGCGCCATGAGAAGCTGCATCATGTACCTTGAACTCAAGTGGGAGTGTATTTAGCATTTTGCCTTATCTGAATACCATCGCCATCTTCATGCATACCATTTTTCACGTGGGCTCTGCTGATTGTGCTTTTTGGCCTTTACCACGTCTCTCGGGCTCAGTGAAAAATTGTCCTAACTGCAACGCCACAAGAAGAATAACTTGTATGACAGAAACCACTGTTGTGGTTCTAAAAGTAATAGTACCGGCATTTAAAGCACGTTTTTGTTTCGAGGACAACAAAGCGCAGTTCGAAAGCTTTAA